GTGTTAAATCATTTTCATTTATTCAGAAGACACAGCGCTGTGCACCGTACCCTGAAAATCCATCTAGATAACAGCAGACTGACTGCTGGTAAAATATACGACAGGTCTGGACCACTCGTGAATTTTGTTCGTATCTGAAAAAAATCTTAGAATACGAAAACATTGGTGAATACCACAAATTCTCCTAAATCACTCGTACGCACAACTTAAGAACAAATCTGTGCGTACGAACAGTTCTTGCATGAGGCCCAGTGACTTATTGACACAGATGTAATTAAGAGACAGGAAAAAAAAAGGAAAATAGCTGAGTGCTGCCTGAGGCCACACTGGGTTCCAGAGACAACATCTGGGTTTTCATAAAGTTAGAGGCTATTTTGGGACACGTATAGGAGAGATTACTTCCTTACTAATAGTAACTTTACAGAACTAGAACATTTGTTCTAAGGTTTTTTCCCCAGTAAACCATTCTAGGTAGTCAGACCTTACTGCCAACCAAAACAAATCAAATAATTAGTCATCAGGAAACAAGATGTCAGAGTTGAGCTTACAGCTCAGAATAGGATTTAAAAACGTTTTGTTTATGCTGTGCTTTATCCCAACCTGCAGCTGTAATCCTTTGTTGTCATTATTGTTGACGACGAGGCGGATGCGTCCGTTTTTCTCATCAGTAACTCGGAGCGTCACCATGCCAAGAATCTCCATGTTCTGCAGGCCACCGTCACGGCCACAGGTCAGCGAGATCTTCTCCTCCACACGCAGGTGTACGCTGAAGATAAAACACAGACTATAAGTAAGTCAACCCAGAGGGGACTGTCCATCCATGTTGTTCAGAGTATTTAAGATGAAGGTGGTGTACCTCTCCACGTTGACTGGTGGTGGCAGAACTTTAGACACATCCGAGCCTCTCTTTCCTGTAGTTGGAATGATAGTTTCACCCTCAGACTTGAGTTGGTCAACAAAGTTGTCTACTTCTTTCCCTTTAGCCCCCAGTTTCAGAGCCCTGCTTGGTCCACTTGATCTAAACAAGAGGAAGAGAAGAAAACACTTATTTTTTCAATAACTGTTTGGTTAAAAAGATCCAGTGAAATGAACGCAGCAGGAGCAACTAATGGACATGTTAGCTGTACCTGACTGGAGTGGGGGTGATCTTGGGTTTCTCAGGCTCTACGATGGTGTCTGTGATGACAGAGCCTGAGGACATGCTGCTCATTCCTGCGCTGCCAAAACCACCAAAAGCAGGCACCTTCTTTCCAGAGCGCTCAGCATCCCTCCTGGCCTGCTGCAGCTCCTTGGCCTTCCTTCTCATCTCAGCCTTGGCCTCGCGTTCCTGGGTCTGTGGGTGTTCACATGGATTTTTGTTTTCTTTACAAATGTATCATCAACCATGGATACATCCTAAATCTCTCAGAACAGTTTAAATATTTTGTTCAGAGATATTTGGTGAAGGCATTTTTACTTGTTTTAGTTTATTTCATTGTTTCTGACGCTGCTCAGACGCTGTTTCCAGAAACAGACCTCTGTAAGTGTGCGACCTCACCTCTCTGACAGCCCTGAAAACCTTCTCCTCGTGCGAGTCCATCTCTGTGAAGGTGCGAATCTGAGCCAGGTTGACGTTTTCCCTGTAGCCGAGCGCTACGATCTCATCAAAGGCGAAGATAAGGTCGAAACAGTGCTCTGAAATTTCACTCTCCTCCAGAACTCGACAGTACTCTGGGATCTGAAACAAAAGGACAAGTATTAAATACTTTCATTTTCACTCTTAAAACATCTGCTGTTTCATATGTTCTCACTAAACTTTCCTACTCAAACAAAGTAACGGAGCACACTACATGGTCCGTCCGTCTTTTTACCAGGCAAGTCCCATTGAGATCTCAGATCTCTTTTTCAAGGGAGGCCTGGGCCTGAAGACAACAATGTACATGTTTTAGTGGGGTGGGGGAAACCAGAGTACCTGGAGAAAACCCACACAAGCACGAGGAGAACATGCAAACTCCACACAGAAAGACCTCAGGTCCAAACCAGGGATTGAACCAGGACCTTCTTGCTGTGAGGCGTAGGTGTCAACCACCGAGCCGTCGTGCCGCCAAAACAATTTAAGCAGCATGTCCTCATTTATAAAACAATTTACTGCAGGATTACCAAATGTGTTCCTCTGAACAGCTTCAGAGTGTAACTCAGTGGTGTCCTGCATGTTTTAGGAGCTGCCCTGCTTCAACACAGCTGAACATAAGTAGTGCTTCATTAGTAGGCCTCCAGTATGTCAGCAACGTCTGCAGAAGACTACTAATTAGGCACTACTTAGCAGCGGTGGGCAGCGCTAATCCAAAAATTAGCTCCGCAATTTCTAAAGCGCTTATGTAAATATTTAGGTCCGCAACTTCAAAAACGCTTATGTCATAGAAAAATTAGTGGAAGGTAATTTTAAAGCACAACTTCAATTTGACACTTACTAGCTCTTTTACAGCTTAATCCTACAACCGCTGATTACTGGGGATGTGGTTTCCTGAAACAGACCTTTAGCTCCTGGTGTAAAAATTAAAAAGTTGTTGAGGATTGCTAGTTTGGCTGCTTTTTTGTCTTTCTTTTGTTTGTTGTAGATTTTTTCATTAAAGAAGCATCAATAAAGTCATTTTAAAACTGTTTATTGGAAAACTGAAGCGATGCATTCTGGGTACATGACGGATTTGATTTGTGATGGGAAACGAAAGCATGGAGTACAGGAAACTATCTTCAAAATAAGAGTGTGGATTTTAAAGTTTTCCATGTAGTTGCTCCAGTTGACCACTAGATGTCAGTCTTCATCAGCATAACATCTTTAAATCATTTCTGAGTCTCTAACCCCGTTGCTTCGACCAATTACATCAAGTATTGAGCTCCAGTGTTTAAACTTTATTTTTTTAAAAAGGAGCTCCGATTGTAAAGTAAAATAAATCAATACATACAAAATTTTAGTATGTGTTACAAGCATTTACTGTTTTTGCTGTTGCGTTCCTGCTACGTAAGCAGGCACAAAGCATTGTGGGAAACCAGAACCGTGACCCAAAGCAACAGTCAGCAGGATGTATACCTTCACAATAAGAGTGTTTATCTGGGAGGGGTGCTGTTGGATAGATCACATGTGTTGTGATTCATTGACAGTCATACCTTCTGCTGTTCAACATAATGATGACTGGTAGATAATTAGTTATTAGTGGTACTGCATTTTAATTTTAGAAAGTACAAATCTGCTTATGAATTATAAAAATTAGTAAGTCCACTAAAGCACAAATGAAAAATTTAGGTCCGCAATTAGCAGATTTGCGCTTCAGCCCACCACTGTGTATTAGTAACTGTAAAAAGGCAAACAGGTTTAATGCTGGCGTCCAGAACACCTAACACAAAGATTTATTGCAAAACAAAATTTATAAAGGTTTCACTTTTTTTTTTCTTTAAATTTCTGCAACGACAATAAAATGTGAGACGACTGAAGAGCTGAACAGAGGTGCGCGCTAGCGTTAGCTTGTCATTTTATCTAACTCATCCACAAGAACCTTGGTGGAAAAAAATCATCAGATTTTATATATATTTATATTTTATAGGGGTCTAAATAGTCATGTGTTATTACAGTTTGATTCACAGGGGATCCAGGTTTTCTTACCACACGGGAAAAAAGTCTGAGGGTCTCGAGGTCCTCCAAAATGTTGCTGTTCTTGGTGGTGATGAGGACCATGTAGAGTTTCTCCAGCGGCTGGTACACATAACGAACGCTGTCTGTTTCCACAAAGGTGTGCTGTTTGCCTGTGTTCATCAGTTTAGGGAATGCAGCTAGAAGACCCTCAATTCGCGTCCGGGTCATTTCAACAAACTGCCGTGACACAATGGCCTTACCGGCCTTGGTGCACACCGCCGCTGCCAACAGCACCTGCAGGGAGAGGCCGAAACATGGTTAGAGACAATCCTGCAGACCTCTGATTTAACAACAGACGTCATCATCAAAGACTGTTTAACTGTTTCAACACATGTAGTGAGGCTAAAAGCTAACAGTTGTTACTTTTAGTTAGACCATTCTCAAGTATCAGGTTATCGTCCCAATGAAGGGATTAAAAAAAAAACTGATAAAGTAGCTGACCAAACTCAAAATGTGATGTTTATCAATGGGTTTCTGGCTCTGGATGTACATCAGTCATTATACAGATACTTTAAAACAGCTGCTGCTTTAGTGGTGGAGATACTCAGTCATACTCTGTTGAAATTTTCATATCTGTGCATTCCTAGTTTTGAGTGTCCTGGTTGGATAGAAAGGTGCTCTAAAAGGTACAGTCCAGTTACCATTTGTTTGGGGAACTGGTGACAGACTGGGGATATTGTAAAATGGAAGAACTTCAAGGAGCTCCTTAATCAGGTGCATGCTCACTCTTGAGGAAGCAGTCTAAGGACCTATGAGAAGACAAGTCCATTACCATGGCAGGGGTCACCAAAGCAGTCCAAAAAGGTCTCCTATAGCAGGGCACCAGGGGTGGAAAATTTGCTCTGAAGGCCCTAGATACTGTGGGACTGTCATGGTTAACACACCTCTTTAATGTTGCATGGAGGGCTGGGACAACACCTGGGTGTGACATACTCTGTGGGGCAGAACCCATTTTGATAAAAGTGGGACAACAGAATCCATTTCAGCTATCAAGGGATCACACTTCTCAGTCTCCTGTGAAATTTTCTTCAGTGTCAGAAGGGAGGTTCCACCCATTTGTCGAACTTTGTTTTAGGAGGATCCTTCCTGGTTGTGAAACAGTGGACCAGATCTTTAACTCTGCAGAGTTGCTACGAGACTCATGAGTTTAAGTCTCTAGTAAACATGTGTGGAGGGTGTCAGGTTTGGGGAACTCCGGGTCTCATCTCAGGTCTTTGTTTTGTTTTTTGCAGATGGTGTGGTTCTGTTGACATATTCACCTTCAGCGTTCACTGGGGTGTTTCATAGCAAAGTATGAAGCCACCTGGACGCAAGTCTAGGTTTGAGGTCATAGTAGCGATGTGCAAAAGTAACCAAGACTTTGGCACTGACTCGAGTTGCTCTTCTTGAAGCAAAGTGATTCAGCTCAATGTGTTAGAGCATGTATCCAACCACCACCATGAAGTTTTAAAGGGGACCTATTATGCAAAATTCACTTTTTAAAGGTTTTTTACTCAACTTTGGGTATGTACTTCTTTAAAAAACAGTCCTAGGACCAAAAAAATGCACCCAGGGGCATATTTACTGTAAGTAAATGTGTTTTTAATGTGTATTAACGACAAGTTTTATACTTTCATTATTTTGTGATGTCACAAGCCGTACGACAACCCACCAGAACCTGTGTTCAGCCCCTTACCTAGCAACCCCCGGGTGAGGCTCCTCCTCAGTATAAAAAGACGTCACAGTGTTGTTGTGTAATGTGTAGCTCTGTTCACAACAAGCCTCCAATAGGGCAATGGGTAGAGTTGGACCAGAGAGTGGGAGACCAGGGTTCAAGTCCAGCACGGACATAATTTGATTATTTATTTTCGTTCGTTTTGAACACATTTTCTCATGTAGCTCTATTGTTTATCTTATTAAAACCTTGTTAAAGCCTATTTGTTCTAGTTTCTGAGGTATTTTGACCGCTGCTGCTCCCTGCTCTGGTAACAGCAGAGTGGACGCAGAGCAGAGGAGGGAGAGAAAAAAAAAAGCTGGGACCACGACTCTGCCTCTGGGTCTCATATGGTTGTACAACGGAGCTTCTGCTATTATTAGCCATGCTAACGTAAACGCTGGCTTTGTAGGGCGGAGTTAATGTCAACAGATTTTTGGAGGGCGGAGTTAATGTCAACAGATTTTTGGAGGGCGTTACCAACAGAGCTCATTAACATAAACAGCTCTTCTGAACAGAAGTCAGAGCAGCAGAACTAGAAAATGGGAAATTTTATTATCTGAGAATTATTTTGTGCATTAAATTGAATGAAGATGGTCTGGATAGGCCACAGACATACCATAAACATTTCTACGACCCATAATTGGTCTGCTTTAAATAAAGCCCACCCCCATAAAAAAGGTCTGAAGCTGAAAACATTTCACTTCATGGTCCAGGAAGCTTTCACAACTCAAAGGAAGTGAAACTGACAGCTTTAGAATGAGTCCTGTTTTAGGTTTTTGGGATTGATAATGACCAGGATGAGAGACTCGTCACCAGCATGTAGCATCTTAGCTACAAGTCATCACTGCTTCACTTCATGCTGAACTGGTTCAAAATGTTTTGAAGCATTTCGTTACCTCAGATCATTTAAATCCAGATTTTTAGACAAACCTGAACCAACATTTTGCCCTTCTTATTTGGTGAATAGTATTTGGAGGTTGCAGTAGCTCCAGCTTATAGTTTGAGCCCAGGCTGCATCAGGAGGGCATCCAGCATAAAACAACTGCTAAATATTTCACTCTTATCAAAAAACTGTTTGTATTCAAACCTTTGTGTCCCTCAGATGAAGGGCATAAGTTCCTAAATAGAAAAAAAAGAAAAAAAGGTTGAAGTAATTTTCTTAATATTTAGGAAATTTGGCATACACATGATTTTACGCATCACATAACTGACATATTTTCTAACATGGTGCAGCCATAGGGAAACAGGAAGTGAAAGAGGAACTCTCTAAAGTCTAAAGGGAGTCTTTGTTTATACAAAGGGTCAAAAAAAAATCTGATTGTGTGAAATGGTCAGTAAAACTCCCAACAATTTATACTTGCCACTTTGCAATTACTAGTGCAATGATACTACTCCCTTGCCTTTGAGTCTGAGATGGTGCAAAACCTCACCGTGTATCATAACTCTGTTCTATATGTCCTGTAAATATAAATGCTCCATATCTTTAACTGTACTCTGACTATGTCCTGTTGTGTCTGTCTATTGTACAGCACTTTGTTTGGCCTTGTGCTGTTTAAAGTGCTTTATAAATAAAAAATGGTGTGGTATGGTATGGTATGGTATGGTGTGTATGACACCTCATCAGTATCTGACATGCATGTGAGCCCAATGGTAGAAGGTGATGTGGAGCAGCTAACGCTACAAATTTGTTTTATCCCTTCAAACACCAACATAAACCAGAGTACAAGGAAAGCATAAAATGCAGTCCAAGGCCACAAAATCGTCCACATGCAAGTGCAATTATCATCCATTACTAATCATCAGCTAAATGCCACAAATAATCGTGATAAACCTTTATGTCAATATTGCCTGACCCTCATAGAAACTGATTTTTCTCAAGTTAATCTAAAGAAAAACATGATTCTTCTCTACTTCTGTGTTGTTTAGGGCTGGGTAAATAAATAAACAAAAAAATTTAAAAATTGATTTAATCGATCTTGAATCGATTTCATTTAAATTAGGGAAAAATCGATTCACAGGGCATGAGATCGATTCTTCCCCATGGAATCTTGTGTGCGCGTTCCTATATTTTGTCACTCCTGGCTTGCCGTATGTTTACATCCAGTTGACATTTATTGCTAACATTAGCTTTCGTTAAGTTGTCTGGATCAAAGCTAAAGAAGCTAAAGACTTACTAAATAACATTACCAGCTGATTCCCCACAGAACTTAAACTTAAAAGAGACCACGTCGCTCAAACCAAAACTTGTGTGTGTAAACATCTGACTGAAACTGTTCTCCACAGCATGGAGAAATGTGTGAAACATGACATTCTAAAACAATCCTTTAGTTTTGTTACCAATATTACCAGTACTATTTTTAAACTTCAAGAAACATCTTAATGAAATTCAGTGATGAAATGTAGGGGTGTAACAGCACATCGATCCATATCGATTTGAATGGTTCATGGTTCGGTTTTATTAAGGCAAAATGAAAATATCTATCTATATCATCATCATATGCCCAATGTGAATCGATATCATATGCCCATTAGGGTTGCGCGATGTTGGCAAAAATATTAATCATGATTAATTGTGGGATTTAGCCGATAATTAATTTGACGATTAATCCCCTGGACACCTTTATGTCCTGGTCACATGACCAATTTAGTGGAAAAGATTTGCTCTTCGTAAAAATCTTTTTCCAACTGTGTCAAAATCACAGACTTCAGGCTGTACTTCAAATTTTAAATTGTGTTGATCGTATTAATCGTCAAGTGCTAAAAAATAATCGATTAATGTTTTTCTGACGATTAACTGCAGACGATATGATTATGCCCAACCCTAATGCCCATCTAACAGTCATTGTGTTAGATGTGCAATATGATATCACATTATATCGATCGCAGACATGTGAACTGAATCTAAATCGTATCGTGACAGACTTTGTGATAAATATCGAATCATCATTCAAACATATCGATGTAACAGTTTTGTAATAAAGCTAGTGATTCCTAATGGAATGTTGTATTATTTGTTTTAATGAGGTATACGTTTTAAAGTGATCCATGATTAGTTGTAACATTAGACTTTATTTGATAAACATTTATTTTAACTGTAAAATAACGACTGTAAAAATACTGTAGGATGTTTAGTTTTGTAAATTTTTAAAAATATATTTTCACACAGATGGAGCCATTTTATTTGCACACAAAGCATTCTGGGTAAATGATGACGTGGATAGGTCCTCGGTGCGAGGCTGCTAGCGAGCTATATCCACCCTGAAGGTTAATCTTGGACAATATCTGATGATCGACTCTTTTAAATGAAACCAGAGAGCGTTGTAGAACAGTCCTGTTTACAGTTACCTGTTCAGGTGTTTCCAGTCGCTGTGAGTCTGCAGTTAAATCAGACACTGAAGGGATGTGAAGCTTCTCAGCAGCTCCATCCTCCTGCCTCTTCTGTTTCAGCACAAAATAAAACATCTCATTTATTTGTGTTGCTGTTAAAAACACCTGACAGTCATGTGATCAGGTTAGGTACACTGTAAAAACTGTCCATCTAACCAAGTTTTAAAACCTTATATC